ACATTCCACGTGTAATTAACATTGTGGGTGTCCAAAACACAACGCTAATCAAATCACTTTTGTCTGGCTGTGTGGGTTTCCTCAGCCACGCTGCTTGGATAGAAAAAAATGGAAGAAAAAAGAAAATCCTCCTCTGCGAACTGAAGCGGTGCATTACAGAAAAAAGCATGCATGCTTGTTATTAATTTTTTCCTATAATTTGTTAGTAATATTTAAATATAAATAATAAAATTGGGTCGAAATAATTATTACGCATTTAGTTTAGAGGGTGTTTATTTATTAATCTAAATAGTAGTGATGCTGTGCTTTTATAAGTCCTTTAAATAGCTGTAGTTGAAAATCACACATCTTGTCTAGTCTTGTTGTCTTCTACTTATCTGGAGCTGTGTCATGGGGGCAGCAGCTTTTGCAGTGGAGCCCAGATTATTCTCTGTAGGACTCCAAGGCATTCCTGAGCATCCCAGCAGTCTACTATATCTAATATGTTCTGGTTTAACAAGAGACCTCCTGTCGGCACGCCATGCCTGAAAACCCCCCCTAAAGCCATCATGCGTCAGAACAAGGACACGCCCAACTTCTATGTGTCAAAAGTGACGGAGACCGCAAGCTTGTCATTGGTCAGGACACTACTTCCTTCAACAGAACCGCCTTTGCACAATCAAAAACATAGATATTTAATGGCAGACACCTCGCAGAACATGTCAGAAAATATGAGCGTTTATTCACCCATGACTGGAAGAGTATAAGATATGCAGCAAGCATTTTATTGGTGGACGTTAATGACGAGAAACGTGGGTTTGGAGGTGCAGATCACAGAAAGTGGTGGAGGAGAATGAGGGACAAATTTGTTTGTGTTGAAAAGTCTCTGAAATAATTAAACAATAAAAACACACTAGTAAAGTCACCGTCTTGGACCAAATACAGGACTGTAATGGTGACAGGATACCCCAGAAAGGCGCTATGCCTTCAGTTGGCGTGGAATTGCTTTGCAACACTCCCCAGATGATGGAGAAGTCTGAAGGGAAAACATCTCTGTCAATGTGACTCCACACTGAAGCTGGCGGAGAAGTATAAATCAGACTTTAAAAATGTCTAACAAAAGCTCGAACCACTCGAACCACCTCAGTTGGATTCTCTCTACGTCAGGGTGCAGCGTCTACCAGTCACGCCCCCTAAGCCTGATAGCGCTTACGATCTGTGGTGTCTACCGACAGGTCCAGGAGATACCGCTGGGTACCTTGTGGTCAAAGCTTAAAACAGTCACAGTAGTTCCCACATTGGTCAGCTGCCTAATTCATCCGTCATGCTCGTCCTACAGGTGATCAGTCCACAGGTCGACATGCTCACCTGAACCCAGCTTGGCCCCCATGGTTCTTGCATACCAGCCCCAACCCCAGGTCTGCTTCCAGGGTATGGTTCATGGTAAACCTGTGGGCCTGGTACTATGATGTTTCTCCATGAAAGGTTTTCTGAATAACTCTTTGTCTCACCTTTCATCTAGAACTGGTTTGCCATGGAGACCCTCCAGAGGGAATTACGAGTACAACATAAACTGCTATTGCATAAATGGAAATTGTAAGCAATTAAGTACATGTTTGCACTTGTTAAATTGTTCTCTTGTTTTGCACTTGTGCAGATTTGTGCTGCTTCTTATCTTGGCCAAGACATCCCTGTAAAAGAGATTTTCTAATCTCTATGGATTTTCCCTGTTCAAATAAAGATAATAAAAACATGCCCAAAACATAATAGATGTTTCCACTATAGGAGTTCCAGGAAATTTCTGGGAGGGGTAAGAGATGCTGGAAAATGCACTGAATCTGTCCTCTCATCCGTTGGGTTTCCATACAAATAGCGTACCATGAATGCTTCAGCAGTGATGGATGTCACTGATCAGCTCCGAAAGGCATCCACAGACAATGACGTCAATAAAAGTTTGATTCTGTCAAAATACAACCTAATTTCATCCATCCAACAAATAATACTGCATTGCGGGGGGATGTCCGTCAGTTTTGTTGTTGGGAGTTTAGAAACAGCAATCTTCAAACTGAACATTATTTATTGTCTATTGTACTTTACCAACAGCTCTCCCAATTTTACCAATGCCTGTTTGTCCATGTCTGCCAACTAATTTTCAGCTGAGTTATAACCAGTCAGCATGAGTCAGTGGACAATCCAGGATTTTTCTGATTATGGAGCCATCAAGGGGCCAAGAATTAGTCCAACATCCGTACACAAGATTTCACTCTGGAAATCCTTATTGGACTCATTAGCACCACTAGTGTTTGCATTTAGAATTGCATCCACATCAGGTCATCAGATGAGTGACAGAACAGGGGCACTTCAGTGGGCCAATCAGAGTTCAGCCTGGGCAAGTGCCCCCATGGCCCCTTCCAGGCAGTTTCCAAATACATACACCGGTTCAACATATTTGAAAAAATAAAATGTAATATCACACAACACCTATCAAAAACTGAGACATTTCCTTTTTTGATCATATACCTCTAATAAATATCGCTCCAACAGCAGGTGTTGGGGACTGAGGTTTTTAAACAAATGCTGCAGCTTTGGAAGGGACCCAATTCCCAATGTGGGATTTCCTTTGTCTCACATTTCATTTAATTACGTTCCAAATGTTTTTTGGTGAGTATCGACTACGATGAGGCCAGCTAGAAACAAAGACCCCCTCCGCACCACCACCACCACAATTTGTTGGTTTGTTTGATTGTTTTATTTTGCAGATTCATGCTTCTCCAACATGGACAGGGTGTGTGATTTTGTTTCACAATTCTCCTGAAATAAGCTGTGCTTTTCCTTGATAAAGACTTGAATGGCAATAATTACTGAGAATTAGAAGGTCATAAAAAAGCTATTGTTGTACTAATGCACTGCCACTCTTTCATGAATGCTGACTTTTGAATAAGAAACTAAACAGTCCCTCTCCTTTCCAGCCCTGCACTTCCTCAGTATTTCCTTGATGACTAATTTTACCTTGTTAACCCACAGAGCAGAGGTTATCTAGTCCAGAAAACGAGGCAGCATTTTGTTCATATGTGTGTGTTTGAAAATGATTATTAGAGGTGTTTTGCTGCCAGTCTGTAACTATTATTGCTCTTATAGGTCAGAAGGCTCAAAGATTACAGTTAATCAGTGTTGGTGTTCAGCCTTGTGATTTAACTGAAGAGGATTTCCTAAATCTCTTAATGATATTATGAGCTGCAGATCAAAAAAATCCCATGTAGCTCCTTTAATAGCTTTTGTCAAGCTCAGTGTTTAAATTTTACATATTCTCTTCAATGACACCAAAATATTTCAGATTTCTTACTTAGTTAAATATGTGTTATTTATTTACTGAACACATTTTCTGTTTTTGATTAATGGTGAACTGATTTAATAGGAGCACTTTTTTTTAATTGTGTCCCTTTTTAATTTCACAAAATTTCATGGTGGAAAAAAAACTTTAGTTCAATGATTTTTTTCTGGTTCTGGATTAAGATTATAACTGTCTCAACTTTACTGAAGCCAATTTCGCATTCAACCCAATCATAAAACATGAAATCATACCATATTAACTATTTTGCCAGCTTCATTTGGTTATAACATGTATTTCTGAAATTGCAATGTTTTATTTAAGACTTAAAACACCAATCAAAAGACAAATAAAAATACCATATTTTCTGTCAATATCTAAATAAATCTAGATATTCACAATTAAAACTGGTATTATAAAATTACCCTCTTTTAATCGTACCATGAAATTGACTGATGTGTTCGGATCGCTTCACTCTAAATGTACATTGATAAACTACTTCTATATATTAAAATCCTTAATTTGTGAGCAATATTTTTCAAAGTTTTCAATTTAAGATTGTAATTCATTTTGTATATTCAAAATACATATTGACTTTAAAAAGCTAGATTTGATTGTGTTTGTTTAACTTCATATATTTCAGACTGAAATTATATATATATATATATATATATATATATATATATATACACATATAACTGCCACTTTTAAATGCAAACTTTAAGACCACATTTTATATTCATATATGATTATTCATCGTAAGACACAACATTATTCAGATTTTACCCATAACATTTACGTTTGACTTAATATGGTAACATTTAATTTAGAAATATTTAAATTAGAAAATTGTCATTTTGTCTTTGCTGATTTCACTCAAAATATTTAGACAGCACTTTAATGAACATGTTTAGATTGTAGCAAATCAAGACATTTTGAGCATTTATAATGAAATAATTTTTATGCTTAATTCTAAAGATTGTATTTAATTATTTTACTTCAATAATGTCACTTCAAATGTAGACTCTAAGATTTTAGCACTATTAAATGTCTGGATTTAACTGTAAATATTGAGTTATAATGTTTTATAGTTTTGATTTAATTCCATATATTTAATTTCTAAATATTTTAAGCCAATTGTGTAGAAATGTGTTTAGTTTACTTTTATAAACAGCACCCCATACTATTTAGACTAACATGCTTGTACTTTTAGGAGCTATTTTCTGTTGGAATACTTTAAGTATACCGCCAAAGCTATCAGCCTAGTGTCAGTCTTTTCCCTGATTTTATTTTTATTACTGAACCCTTGTACATTTTTACAACAGTTCTAAAAACAGAGGCATGTGTCTGTTTCCACCTCCTGCTGGGTGACAACAAATCCGTTGAAGCTTTTAACAGGTAGATCTCAACTACCTCTAGTGGTGCTTTCCTATTAAACAGTCTCTTAACTAATTTAGTTAGCTAACTGATTGCCACGTGCAGTTTTATTCAAGGGGGCCCGATTAAAGCTGCACAATCAGTTTATCTAATGAACCATTTGCACCCAACATACAGTTGGAGCCACATTTTTTTCTTTTTTTTTTCTTTTGGTGCACCAACTGAAGACCATTGGTTGGCTGGGGAGGCATTTGCATACGCCAGGGCTTAAAGTCAGTCCCCCAGATAAGTCAGAGTTGAGTTTCCATCTGACTTAGCACAAATAGCGCAGCTTTTGCGTCATTTATGATTGTTTCGATCTGGATTTTCCAGACTCTTCAACATGGGGATTTTAAAGCTTCTCTCAGCTGGAATGCCCCTGATGCTTGCCGTGTTTTCACTCACTGCTCACGGAACAACGACTAGATATGTCACATATGAGGAAGACGCAGCCGGTACTGAGATTGGCAATTTGTCTCAAGACTTAAAGATTGATCCGGCTGATGACCTGGAGACATCATTCCGCTTCATGCAGGAAGAGAGCATCTCTTCTCTGCTCCACATGCGGGAGAACGACGGACTTCTGAGCGTGGCCGAAATAATCGACCGGGAGCAGCTGTGCCCCAGGTCCCCCCGCTGCTTCATCACTTTCGACGTCGTGGCTCTCTCCCGAGAAAAGTTTCAGCTCATCCACGTGGAGATAGAAGTGAAGGACATCAACGATCACGCGCCCCGCTTTCCGCGCAACGAGACCAATCTGGAGATAGAGGAAAACGTCCCCCTGGAGTCCAGATTCCCGCTGCAGATCGCGTTGGATCAGGATGTGGGTGGAAACTACATTAAGAGCTACAATATCTCACCCTGCAGCCATTTCGCTGTTGAAGTGCACGAAGGGGAGGATGGGGGGAAGTTTGCGGAGCTGGTGCTGGTGAAGGAGCTGGACAGGGAGGTGGAGGACTCCTACACGATCCAAGTTGCTGCATATGACGGGGGAGCGCCTCCAAAGTCGGGATCGATGACGGTGAACATCAAAGTTCTGGACTCTAATGACAATAGCCCGACGTTTGAGCACAGCTCTCTGAAAGTGGAGCTGGAGGAAGACGCGCCGGTGGGTCACAAAGTTCTCAAAGTTCACGCTTTCGACCCCGATGAAGGCATCAACGGTGAGGTGACGTACGCGTTCGCGGAAGGGTTGTCGCCCGAAGCTGCGCGCATCTTCCACGTCGACCCGAATTCCGGTGTGCTGACGTTAAAGGCGCCTGTTGATTTTGAGAAAAGGAGCTCGTACGAGCTGCTCGTGAGAGCCTCGGACCTGGGGGAGAACTCGGTCCCGTCCACCTGTAAAGTCCTGGTCGACGTCGTGGACGTGAACGACAACCCGCCCGTGATCCACATCAAGCCGATGACGTCCAGCAGCGACGGCGTGGCCTTCATCACGGAGGCTGCTGCCGCGGAGAGTTTTGTGGCTCTTATCAGCACCTCGGACAGCGACTCCGGCTCCAACGGGTACGTGCGCGTCAGCCTGCTCGGGCACGAGCATTTCAGCCTGCAGCAGGCCTATGGGGACACGTTCATGATTATCACCACCACCACTTTAGACAGAGAGAAGATCCAGGAGTATAACCTGACGGTGGTTGCAGAAGATTTGGGAACTCCACCTTTCAAAACCCTCAGACAGTACACCATCAGTGTTACAGATGAGAACGACAACCCCCCGCTCTTCAGCAAGTCCCTTTATGAAGTGTCAGTGCTGGAAAATAACATCCCAGGTTCGTATGTAATGACAGTTGTTGCCCGAGATCCAGATGTGGGAAAGAATGCAAAGGTGTCTTATAAGCTGCTGGACTCCGAGGTGCCAGGAGGATCCCCGGTGTCCTCTTACGTCTCTGTGGATTCAATTTCAGGCTCTTTGTACACTTTAAGGTCCTTTGATTATGAGACACTTAAACAGATTGAGCTGGTAATCCAAGCCGAGGACAGAGGCTCCCCTTCCCTTTCAAGCGCTTCAACAATCAGGATTAGAGTTGTGGATCAGAACGACAACTACCCGTACTTCACCTTCCCCGTCCTTCTCAACAACTCCGCTGACATCCCTCTGCCCTACAATGTACCCTCCGGCTACCTCGCCCTTCAAGTGTCAGCCGAAGATGTGGATGAGGGAGTGAACGGCGAGCTCTCCTATCACATTATACAAGGTGACCCAAAGCTGTTTACCATCAACAAAAACACAGGCGAGATTGCTTTAAAGCAGTGGCTGACAGCTGAAATTGGAGACGTGCTGGAAATGAAAATTGCCGTGAGCGACAACGGCAGGTCCCCGCTCACTAGCGGAGCCACGATTAGGTTTGTGGTCTCAGACACAGAGCCCCCCGAAGACCGGGTCGTCATTGTGCTGCAGTCAGGCGAGGAAGAAAGCTCTGCTCTGGATGGATCACTAATTATCATCATTATGCTCAGTGGGGGGTGTGCTTTTCTGCTAATTGCAATAGTAGCCGTTGCTGTCAGATGCAAGCAGAGCCGTGTGAGGAGAAGCCACGGCAGGAAGAGAGACGTGTGCCAGGGCCTGTTCGACGCCAGGCCCCTGGCCAGGCTCAGCTCTGCAGAACCGAACATCTACATGGGCCAGCAGGGGTTTTTCCAAGAGAGAACATCCCTGTCTCTGGATGACTCGTGTTTGTACGAGGAGCGGAGCAGAGACTCTGACACCAAGGTGAGCTTTCACAGCTTTCAGTGTGTTTTTGATCCAGAAATGGAAACTAACCTCTCTACCATTGCTGTCTTTGTCTACTCTTTAGATCTTCCTGCCCTCCAAGCATTTCCAACCAGCATCTCTGTGGCAAACTGACAGATACTGCTTGCAAGTGAGGTAAGATAACCCAAAAAATTGGCATTTTTTAAAATGTAAATCTTTGTTCATTAACACATCGGAACAAAGCACAGAACCTAAACAACGTGCATCTACTTCATGTGGCACGTATATGGAAAGAGGCCACAAGACCCAGACTTTGCACGTGAAAAAGCATCAATAACCAACCTCATACTGTATTTGTTGATTGCAGCGGCCTCAGCAACAATGACCAGCTGAGCGTGAAGGACAGCGGCAAAGGGGACAGTGACTTCAATGACAGTGACTCCGATTTCAGCGGGGATGGAGGCAAAAAGAACTTCAGCACCTTCCAGCCCAGAATAAAAAGTTGGTTTTCCACATTCTTCCACCTTAAAGTGATATTATGCAACTTTTTTTTAACCTTTTTTAATCATTACCTTGAGCCATTAAGTGCTAAAATGAACATTTACAGGGTTGATGAAATGTCACTCAGACCCCTACCACCCTCTGCGCCCAGAATACTGCATTTGCAACTTCAGAGTGCCAAACCGACAACTATTATACATAGAAAAATTGAGCTTAGACACCTGGTGCTCCAATCTGCTTCCTGCACATAATCCCTGCATGTTTTAGATCATGAACACAGCTGATTTGTTTAATTTAATGATGCATCACTCCTGTAGACACTAATGAAGGCTGGGGAAACATTTCAGCTGTTAGATTAAGGTGGTAAAAAGATGAATGCACAACGTGGAGATAAGTTTCACTTTTTCTTTGACCACAGATAATTAATAATGGGCACTAGGGGGTGCTAAAGCAAGCAAAACAGCCAAGTGTGCCTTTAAATAACAACCATGAGCCATAACCGAACATCTCCCATCTTCACGTTTCAGGTGCTGCTAACAGCCTATCAAGGGATTGCCACGATAGCTACTGCGCAATCCCACAGAGGAGCTTTGGGGACAACGGTTACACCATCGGCTTCTCCCCGGTTCCTGTCTTCAGCGGCCCTCATGGGATGATGAAGGACTGTGGTTATGCTACAAACCAGCCCAAACCAAGGAGCAACCTGCAGACCTTTTCCAGATCCGGGACTCTTCCCCTGTATTTCCCTCAGCAGCTGCACGACACTGGTGTTGGACTGGCTGAGGTCCAAAATCAGAGTCCGAATATTGTAACCGTGGCAACAGATGTAGAAGTTGCAACAATATTTTAATCCAGGAATCATTGAGATGAAACATGTAAATATGTAGAAATGTGCATATTTTTTCAGCATGTGTACATATTCCCTTTATCTTCATGAACACAGTTATCGCAAAATCCACTTTTGCATTCATGTTGTGTTATTTGAACTTCATTATTTTTTTATTATGATTACTACTTTCTAATAAAGGTATTGACTGCAATAAGAAATAAATGCCACTCTTTGCTGCATGTTTCCTAATAAACTTTAACAACAAACCCTCTGGGAGTAAAGAATATTACATTTTGAAGGTTTAATGATAATCCCCTGCTCCTCGTATCCCCCTGCCTTCATGTAGAACTCCTCCTCCACTTTGAATCTACATGATCAAAACTGTAGTCAGTGCCAGTCAGATGTGGAAGCTGAAGCACCTCCATTACCTGGGAGAGCTCCTTTGAAGACTCCCAAGGTTGCTCAAGTAAGTTTCTTGCATGCAAATCAGAGAGTGGAGCTCACTCTGGAAAATAAAAGTAGAATACTCTGACTAAACCTGCCTGGGTGCCGTCATGTCAGCGTCTTGCTCTTTAAAATAATTTCCATCACTGCACACAACACGGCACAACGTATTAGGCTGCCTGACAAATCCCTCCCTGTCACCCGTTGTTTAAAGGTGCAAATGTTAAGTTTTTCATGAATTCTTTTCTTTGCTTAGAAAAGTGAGGGTGGAAATAAACGTGCGGGAAAAATATGTTGGTTTTTTTCATGTAATTCCTTCTGTTCCTCTGACAGTGATAAAAACTCGGCCTTTACTGTGTTTCATTTGCAGAATCGGTTTATATTCCTGAGTTCCATCCAGCCGTGAATAAGCAGTGCAAGTGCAAACTGTTTCTGGTCCTCAACGATTTATTGACAAGCCGCTGATGAGTTTTCAATCCACAACCAGCACTGCTGGCTAACAGCGCCCTGGAATCTGGACAGTTATTTATGAAACAGTGAAATACTAACAAAATATTATTATTATTGTTCTATTATTTTTTTACACCATCATATCTTTAGTTAATCTTCCTAAAGCAACAGTCTCTGTAGGGAGAATTTGGCCATTTAATTTATTCTTAGTTGTACAGTAAATGGTTATTTGAACAGCTTTTGACTGGAGGAATAAAGATGATTTCTGACCAGACTCATGAGCTAATAGCTAACTTTAGCCTGGCCAAATCAACTTCATGTAACATCCATGTAAAGACTTATTTATAAAGATTTACATAACTGTCAGTTTCTTTTTCTTTTCTTTTTTTTCTTGTGTGTGTGTCCTGTCTGTCTGTGAAGCAAACAGAATTGATGTCTGAATGCTGGTGACAAGCCTTACAGATTTACACTCAGGTGGAGCATCAAAGCTTCTGCTTATAATGTTACGCCTGATACTTAAAACCTTATTGTTATTGTTTTTGAATGCTTTTTAATTCCGACCAGACATGGAGACAGAGGTGAATGAGAAAGTAAGAGACAAAAGGTGTGTGTGTGTGTGTGTGTGGGGGGGGGGGGGGGGGGGGGGGGGGGGGTCTGCTTCTACACCTGCAGCAAGAGAGAAAAAAAATGGGACACAACAACAATACAACAAGATCAAGCTATCACTGCATCATCTCGATGAAGAAATATATAATCAACATTGTTTAACTGAGCCATAGACTGTAAATACAGGGTGGGGTGGGGTGGGGGGGGGTGGGGGGGGGGGGGGGGGTTGATGCTGATGAACAAGAGTCTGCATGTACAGTAGACCTGCAGAAAAGGGACACACAACAATACAACAGGAGCAAGCTATCACTGCGTCAACCTGATGAGGAAATATAAAATCAACATTGTTTAACTGAACAAGCACATGATAATAAATCACAGTGCATTAAGTGCCAACCACAGCCTTAAGACATGTGTTGAACGTGTCCAAGTCCATACTTATGAGAGCACAATGTGAGCACCTGTGTGTGTACACGCACTTGTATATGTAAGGTTTCTCTATAGGAGCGTCCAATAGAGTGTGAGGGGCCACAGATCTGCCCCTAAAGATGTGTAGGAGACGGAGGGAGCTCCAAGTCCCAGAGGTCCAGGAGCTGCCCCAGAGCACAGGAACCCCAGGGAGACTGCGACCAGAAAAGTCTCCGCCCCCCTCGAGAGGCGCAGAGGATCGCCCCGGGGGGCAACAACCAGCAGCCGGTAGAGTCCTGGGAGATATCAGCGGCAAGCCCACAGGCCCGCCCGCAGCCTCCCACCCCATAGCCGGCCGAGCCCGGGACCCAGGGGCGACCACCCCCATCAGGGACCCAGCAGAGCCCAGGGACCCAGATCCCACCAGGCAGCCACCGGGATTGATCAGGCAGACGCCAAAAATCTTAAACTCCTTGACCCGGGAGGCACGACCCAGGCAGACCAAGCTACCGCACTCCATACCAGGTGTGGCAGGGGGAGGGGAGACAAAGATCTATATCATCAAAAGAAGTCCCAGGAGAAGGGAGGAGTCAAAGGCCCCACCTGACAAACACAGTCACACACTCCCTCCCTCATGCTCACACATACACATACAACCAAAGACTTACAAAAATGCACGCCGGACACCCACTCATGCTCCCCATACACACCCTATTCACTCTGGTCCCGGTACTGCTGTACATAGGGTACAACCATTACCAGTTCCCAGATTTCGACCCTTTCTGCTGGGGTGCTGATGAGCAGGCTCCCCTGCCCAACGCTGAGCAAAGCAACCCACCACCCCAGATCCCAACCGGACGGCCGGATCTCCCTCCTAGCCTCCAGCTCCAGGAAGCCAAGCGACAACAGAGGTGTGCTAAGACCCCTAGTCTCCCTCCGCCTGCTCCAGTATGGTGTTAGTGAGTGTTGATGAGGTGTATTCCATGGCTGTCCGTTTCACTGCATTTGGCATGAATGAGGCATAAACAGCAGCAGAAGCAGCTGAAACATAAAATGCAGAGGAACACCTACACAAGACATTATTATCACTGCACAAACTTTAAAACAAACAAAATTGACAACGTGACAATGAAAGAGGCAAAAATCATAATAGTTTCAGGAACATTGCATTTGGTAAATCAATCTTCTTTCACTGGACCAGTAAAAATGTGAATAATTAGTTAAATAATAAAATAATGCTATCCCATTACATGCTGGAATTGGAATAGTGTAAACATTTGTAAAAGATCTCCGAAATAATATTTTGTTGCACAACTTTTTGAGGCAATTGCTGCAATCAAAGCTTCCTGTAACTGTCAATGAGACTTCTGCACCTCTTAGCAGGTATTTTAGTCCATTACTCATGAGGAAACTGCTCCAGTTCAATAGGATGCCCAGTAGGATTGAGGTCAGCACTCATAGAAGACCATTTTAGAATAGTCCAATGTTTTCCTCTTAGCCATTCTTGGGTGTTGTTGGCTGTGTGTTTTGCGTCATTGTCCTGTTGCAAGACCCGTGACCTGTGACTGAGACCAAGTTTATATATTGTTCATATATACACATATACAAATAGCTAACAGGTGAGATACTTCTTATTTACATCATCTTCACACTTCAAAAGATCTCAGTTGTCCCTTTGATACAGACTCAGAAATTATGGAGGTAAATTTAGGACGCACATTCTCAAGAACCGTGAAAGTTTTACAACCAAACGATCCAAGAAAATATCAATTAAACGCATCTCTCAGTCAACAGTGTGTATCCCCAGGGAAGAACATGAGTTCTTCATCAACAACATCAAACACCCCCGCTTGCTTTAATATTGCTTTTATCAACATTTTCTTTTTTGTAACGGAGAATGAAACAGGAATTAAGAATTTTAAAGATTAAAGACCTGCTGAAAATTATTGGTTCATACAAATGTGTATGACTGGATTCTGTCCTTTTTTTATTGGGTCAGTTCATTTTAAATAAATGTTTGATTTGTGAGAACAAGAGAAACAAGAACAGAAAGCTGTTACAAATCGCTTAACAGCCACAGATAGAACAGAAAATTGCTAGTTTCCCAAAACCACGGCGAACAAAGAAAGCTATCAGCAGAATCTGATGGCTCTGGAGTCACTTGTCCTTCTTCCTTTTATTTTTTTTCCTCTTGTTCATCCAGACAAAGTGTGGTCTAAGATTAGTGCTCATTTGCATGATCATAAATACATATTTTTTAGCTTTTGATAGCTGTGATAAAAGCTGGAATTGAGTGGATTAGGCACCTTTTACATTACTGTAAGGCACTAAACAGAGTTCTCACATTTTACAATGCTCCTCATGAATAAAACTAATTCCATATCTAAGCTGTCCGCAACACTTAGAAAAAAAATTCACCATTTAAAGCTTCTACTCGTCAGAGTCGACGCGGTTCGAAAATTGCCAAGACATTAACTTGAGCATTCAAGGCCATGCAGAATGAAACACACGCACTGAGAAAGAAGGTCACATTTGTGCCTCTAGTGATGTTCACGGCTTTGACAGATAGCCAATTGTACACAGAGAGAAAATGCATTTATCAATCAATACAATGTGGTTCCCTCTGTCATTGCTTTATATTCTTCTTGTAGGTCAAATGAGCTGTACACTGACCTGATCATTCATGCCAAAAGGTACATGCATTAGCGCACTTTGGAATAAAAACGTGCCTCTTCATTGTTTTGCAGACATCATGCATGTTTTTATTATTTCTAAATGGACACTATATTAATATCCAGCAGCAGCTCATGTTGCACGTTTGGAAGGAAACAGAAAATGAGCATTCACTGCTCTGCTTTTCAGCTCGCCACTATTCCTCCGAAAAATGAGTCAGATCTGCTTGCGTCATTTAGTTTCCTCCTGCACCTGTGGTGTTAAGTTTATTCTTGACAAATAGCTAACGGTGTGACAGTGATTATGCTGTAATGGTCTTTTAGCGTCTCAACTTTGGAACGCATTCTCCGCTGCATGTAAAGATGGAGCCCCTTTCTGAATCGATGGCATGTGGCGCTTCCAGGCCCCTTCCACAATGCAATGTTTTGTGCTTCTCGCACCTCGTCTTCATCTTCGTCTGAGCTGCCAAGTGCGATTATTGACTTTTGGATGCTTTGAATTGTGGGGCTGGTCTGGAAAAATAACACCATTTGTTTTTCACTTGACAGTTTTGTCTTGAAGCCGAGGCTTTGTTTATGCTCATTTACCATTAAGATGTCAGTGTTGTTGTTGGTGAGTTTTAACTGAACAAGTTTAATCTTGCAGAGATGTCTGTGAGTTAAAACTTGAGATGTGGAGTGAGCAC